ATTCTTCGGAGGGTGTTTTTGGGCTATCTTGGGTCGTCATGGGGCTTTCTGAGGACCATCTTGGACCCGTGTTGTGCCGTTTTGGGGCTCTCTTGGACTGCCTGGAAGCCCTTTCGGATGGTTGTGGGGCAATTTGGGAGCGTCCCAGGCGGCTTCGGACGCCCAGAAGACCGCCGTCTTGGAGCGTCGGGAAGCCGAAAAGAGGAGAACCCTAAACTTCACCAAAAACCCTTAGAAAATCGATGATTCTTGCCTCGGGGGGCCTTCTTGGGAGTGCCCTTGGAGGCCTCTTTGGGGCCGTCCTGGAGGCCTCTTGGGCCATCTTGAGGTCACGTCGGTCACTCTTGGAGCGCTCTTGTGCTGTCTTGGGGGTCTCTGGGACGTCTCCGATGACCCCCCTGATCGCCCTAGATATGCCGGGAAGGTTTGGCAAAGAATGTGCCCTGCGAGGCCCGGTGGCCGCTTCGAGCCCCGTCTGGAGGGCCCCAAAGCCCCAGGTCCCGGGCGTCCGGTTTTGGGGGGGTGGTGATGGGTTTTCCCCCCGCCCGGGCTTATAAAAATATAGGAAGAGGAATAGGGGTGGATGGATCTTTTGACCTCTATTCGTGCCCTGGAGGACCTGGACGACTTGATGATGTCCTTCTGCTCCGAGATCACGGCCGGGGCGGCGCCGCCCCCGACCGCCGAGCCCGGCGCCGCCCCGGCGACCCCCCCCCTCTGCGCGCGCGCGCCTCGCCCGCAGACGCCGCCCCGCCACAGGGGCACATCGGGCGCCCCTTACCAGCCTCGAACGTATGCCTATCCCTAGGATTGACACGCCAAGAGGCGATAACAATCTTAGGGATTCGCCCTCAAAAAATAAGGAAATCCCTAAGATTGGCATCGTGATGAGGAGGTGCCCAGCATCGGGATAGGGATATGTTCAGGCTTGTAAGCCCCCAGGCGCTGTGGTGACCGCACCGCGTGGTGAGTCGGTGCGGGTGCCTTCGGTAGCAAATCATGGGAGGCCTGGCGCATGGCGTACCCTGCTAATGTCAACCTTTCGCGTCGGTCAGCGTCGATTAGCCTCTGGGAGTCGACGGTATAGCGCCGATTTGGCGTCGGCTGGCGTCGACTAGCGTCAATTTAGCGCCTATTAGCGTCGATTTAGCGCCGACTGGCGTCGATTCGCAAGAGCGGACAAGATGGTACGGGAGGCTCCCATGAGTTGCCACCGAAGGTTCCGGGTCGCCGCACGATGCTAGGATTCGGGTCGTGCTCCGAGGACGACCTGGGCGCCCAGGGCCTGCGAGGTCCCGAGGCTGTGCGGTGGCGGTCCGCGGGGTGAGGTCTCCTGGGATTTCGAGGCCCGTCAACACACGGCTCTGGGACCCCCAAGAAGGGCAGGTCTCGAGGGAAGCGGGCCTCGAGGCTTTCTGCCAGCCTCGTCGAGTCGCCACGGCTGCTCGACCCCGGGGTGCATTCCGGCAGATCTGGCCGAGAGGCGCCCAGAGTTGCCCGGATGGTTCCAGACAGCCGCCCGAGATCCGAGCCAGGGCCCGAGGACCAGACGACGAGGATCCTTCGGGGACGGGGCCGGCCCGTGCAGAGCGACCCCGGGTCGCCCATGCGTCGTCGATCGGAGCCAGGCGGCTTGCTCGGCCCGCCCCAAAAGACCCTGGAGGTCGTCACAGACTCGCAGTACGTCCAGAATGGTATCTCCGCGCTCCAGCAGGGCGCTTCCCCACGGGAGTGGTCGCAATCTGTTGTGTGGGACCTCATGCACCCCATTGCCGCTGCGGGATCCGGACGGCGAGGTGGATCAAGGGCCACCTCGACGAGGACGGCGCAGCCGCGATGCTGGCCGAGGTCGAGGTGGCGGCGCTCAGAGCCAACCGCGGCAGCACTGAGCAGGCGCCGCCGCGCGTGCGTCGCCGCTGCGCCGCACCGGGGCCGCGGCGCCGAGAGCCCCGCGCGGGCGGCGCGCGGCGGCGGCGGCGGCCGCGGCCAAGAGAGCGCTGCCGGCGACGCCGCGCCCGAGCCCCGCTAAAGCGGCCCGCGCTCTGTTCGCCGGCGGCGCCTGGCGCGCGCACGTCGCCTCGCATGGGCCGGGGCTGGTGTCCTGCATGCGATGCGATTGCTGGGCCCCCGCGTGGGAGCTTCTGGCCAGTCGCCCCTGCGCTGGGTGGGCGCCGGCGCTGCCGCCGCGGGCATCGGGTCTGTTCCTGCTCCCAACGGCGCGCGCGGGCGACGCGGAGGCAGCTCGTCGGGGCGCCATCCAGGCTTGCCGGTTGACCCGCCCGAGGGCGCCACTGATTAGTTGCATGCGCCGGGCTGCGCGCCGCGCGCCTGGTCATTCCCCCTCCGCTCCCTCCCCCCCCCGTTTCTTCTCTGCAGTAGGGCTTCGTTGTATGGTAAAATATGAGGGATCTTCAGTTCTCCTTGCGTCTCCGAGTCCACCTTGATGGATCCGTGACTGACAAGCCCAAGTTTGAGTCGTGCCGCTATCTGAACTGCGCGATAGACGTCGGTGTTCCCGCGTCCATGGTGAGCCTTGGGCTGGCCACGCTGCTTTGTTCGATGCGGATTTGGGTGATCTGGTCTGCAGTGCCCACGTCGGGGCCATCGTCGGCGAAAGCGTTGCCGTCGGGTCGATTTGTCCCTCATCATGTGTAGGTTCTTCGCCCAAACCATCCAATATCGATTGCCATGTCTTTTTGACGTAGTGTGAGCTGCACTTTCCTTACGCGCCCCGCCAACAAGATACCAAACAATCTATCTCCGTATGGGAGTCTTGGTCTCGATATGCATTTGTTGCGTGTGATATATCCACAATCCGTTAATGCGTACCACGTATCTGCATGAGCTGCGGCTGCCACAATAATCGAACATGGGTTGACGTTGATGCATAGCCGTGTGCACGCCTCTGGCCCAAGCCGAGGGCGAAAGAACCTGATAATTGGATGGGCAACGCGGAGGGGTGGTGAGGATGAGAGGAGGTGGGGAAAGAACCGAACATCAGCAAGGGGGTGCGTAATCGCACGGAGGATGCGGAGGGGGGAGCAGATGGGACGAATGTGTGTGTATGTGTGGATGCGGAAGTTGAGGAGGGTGGAAGTGCCGGAGGAGAAAGGGTTGTCGTGGGTGGACGGGGTAGCGGGGTGGGCAGATCATGGTGATAGTGATGATGGCGATTATAATGTTGATGATGATGAAGGTGCTGATAATGATGCTGATGCTGATGCTGATGATGATGGTGATGGTGATGATGATGATGATGATGATGATGATGATGATGATGATGATGATGATGGTGATGATGATGATGATGATGATGATGATGATGATGATGATGATGATGATGATGATGATGATGATGATGATGATGATGATGATGATGATGATGATGATGATGATGATGCGGACGACGTGGGAAAAAGGAGGCGCAGGAGGGCATAAAGGGGAGATTTGGGAACGTTCATGCCGAGAAGAGGGGGGAGGAGGGGGAGCGGGGGTGTTTCACGATGGATGGGGCAGGGGGCGGGAAAGTTTTCTAGGGGACGGAGTGCAGTCAACCCGCGCATCATGGATGGGCAGCCTTCCCAAGGGTACCCTTGCACCCTTGCCCCCCTCGGTCCATCTTTATCCACTTCCGTTGGCCGCGCCCTGCTCGAGAAACTTCGACGTGGGCGTCCATGGCCCTTGAATCATCGGGCATCCTTCTGATACGGGCCGACTGTAGGAGGGCAGCGGGTGCGGGGATGCGCAACGCAGTCTTCCCCCTTGCGAGGCGAAGGACGGGACGAGCGCGGCCACACCGGCTGCTTCTGGCCGCGCGGGCGGTACCGCCAAGCGGAAGGCGCAGGAGGGGCATCCCGACCCTCGCTTCAGGTCGGGCATGTCCTTTTACAGGAGGCTTTTCGAGAATGGTCAAACATTTGTCAGGGCACGATGCTTCGTGCTCCTTTAGTTTTTGTTCCGCATTTTTGACTGATTTCTATATTATTTGGAGATCCGCCTGTGGGAGGGCAAGTCCGACCTAACCCTCGTCTTGCCCGACCTAACCCTCGCCTTGCTTGGACGACGGAAGACAGGCACTGGCACGAGATCTGCCCATGGCCCATGCTTAGAAAAAGAAAACGGCGCCGCCAGGGGACCCAGGCACGGATCCAAGAAATTTTCGCGGAGCGCCAGGAGTCTATGTTTATGGCGTTCTTCTCCTTTGATTCTGGGCCCAAGGTGGGTGCATATCTCATAGGAGGAAAAGGTTATAATCCACACCGCTACTCTTCCCTCGTTTTCCCCTTTTGGGGCCTCCTGGCAGGCCCTCGTCGCCACCGCTGGACTCGCCCAGAACTTCTGGTCAGAACGCACCCTGGGAGAGGTCCGGGGAGTAGCGGTATGGGTACCTTTTGGCTTCCCCAGTGTCACCGATCCCAGCCATCCTAAGCGGCCCAGTGAGAGCCGGCGTCTGCGTGTACGTACAGTTGTCGTCGTCCTCACGGCCCATGTCCGTAGCCCTTCGTAGTCCGACGTTCATTCTCCGATTCCCTCAAACGTATTCTGGACCCACTCGTATTCTGACTCACCCATGTTGTACTTAGCCACCCAGGCTGAGCCACACACATTATGACTCGCTCATGCTCCGACCATCAGACAATACAAATACTCACACTCAGACGCAGTCATATCCAGACTTCCTTCGATTTGCACTCTCATCCTCTGACCAGCTTATATTCCGTCCCGGTCGCACATCGGTATTTATCATCAGACTCTTTTGAATTCTGGCCTACTTTACTTGACCCTGGTAGCCCAACCCAGAATCATCATCATCATCATCATCATCATCATCATCATCACCATCACCATCACCATCACCATCACCATCATCATCAACATCATTATCATCAGCAGCATAAAGATATATGTATTTATGCACCATATATATATATGCACACACCAGACACCGAGAACGATGAACACAGCACCATGTATGCACACATGGTGTCTCCACCTTGGGCATGTTCCGTTGGCAAAGCGCGTCGAGCAATCCAAAGCCTCGCTTAGCTAACATCGGACCTTGATCTTCTTAGGCAGAGGACGATTCAGCGATACCCCGACGATGTTTTTTCGAAGCAAAGATCTGGAGATCTAAGTTTTGACCCATTTTCCAAGGGCGTGTTTTGTCGCCTTCAGTTGTTCCAAACCATCCTGTGGTGCAAGATCTTCCTTTTGATCCTGCGGTGCCCCGTGCCCTTTCTCCTCCCTCCCCGCATGATGTCTCCGCGCCCATTTCCGAACACCCGTCACAGGGATCGTTTCCTGAGGGAGTTTCACCTGTGTCCCCAGGTCGAGGGACTCGCCTGCTATCCCTGCTCTCATGTTGGCGCTCCCCTCGCGAGGAGCGTGCCCCCGTGTGGGAGGCTCATCCACGAGGACCGCGCTTCACAGGGAGGTCCCACCTTGGGCCCCAGCGACCGCGATTTCGGCACACCCCTCAGGAGGATCGCGCCTCACAGGGAGCTACATCGATGGCCCCACTGGAGAAGCTCGCATGGCGTCCTCCCGCGATTTCGGCAGACCCCTCACTTGGAACGTGCTTCACGTGGAGATCCACGTACGACCCCACTTCAGGATCTCGCACAGCGTCACCGCGCCCATGTCGGCAAACTCATCACGAGAAGCATGCTGCACAGGGAGTTTCAGGTACGGCCTCAGTGGAGGGAGTCGTATGACGTCTCCCCTCGTAAACTTCGGCGCGCACCTCACCTGGATCGTGCCCCCATGTGGAGCTCTACTTATGGCCACAGTGGATGAGCTTGCACGGCGTCCTCCCGCCACTTCGGCACACCCCTCACAAAGATCGTGTTCCATCATAGGGAGCCTCACCTCTGGCCCCAGTGTATGAACTCCCATGACGTTCCCGCGCCATTGCCAGCACACACCCCACGATCATCGCGCTCCAAGCAAAACAGCTTCCATCTTGATCTTTACGCGACGCGATGGGTCGTGGGGAGGAGAAGGATTCAGGAGGGTGGCAGAGAAGATGACGAGAATCACACATGTGCGAGCAACGGATCAGGCTTTCGAACGCCTCGACCTCTCGAGCCTCGAGCCTCGAAGAGGAACCGAAGGAGGAGAGGAAGGAATCCTTCGTGGGTCGGCCTGTTCCCCTCCAACTTCAGTCGGGGCCTTAGCGGTGAGGGATCGCTCGCCTGCTGGCCCTGGCTCTCGATTTTCGCGTCGCTCGTCGTCGCCCGCCGCCCTGTGTTCTCGCCTGGAGGAACTCGGCTGCGCAAGGATCGACAGGATCGACAGGACAGAAACGGACTCGGTGGAATCCGTGGACTCGGTGTCAAGGGTGTTGCTTGCCACTGCCGCTCTCCTCTGCGAGGTCCCCAAGGGGCCCCCGGAGGTCCCAGCATGTCATGTGTAGAAGGAAGGGGGGAGGAGGATGAGGAGGAGGAGGAAGAGGAGGAGGAGGAGGAGGAGGAGGAGGAGGCGGAGGAGGAGGGGGAGCAACCAGTCCAGGAGGATGGTCCACCCCCGAGGGCTGCCGGAACCGCCTGCCCCGCGCCAGGACCCCAGCGGGGACGCCGCGGGCAAGGCCGGCAAGAGGCCCACCTATACGGGCCGAAGGGGCTCCAGCGCCGCAGCGACGGTGAAGGCCGAGCTCCCTCCCCCAAAACTCGAGACGATCAAAATTGGTGCGGAAAGAGTGCGACCGCTGCTCGGATAAAACTTCGAGCCATCGAGCCACCGCTGCGACTAGAAAAGTGCGTCGGGCCTCGCTTCTGGCTTCCCCAGGGCCTTGGGAGGCCTCCGCAAAGAAGCTCCAGGGGCTTCTCGGAAGCTCCTGGTAACCTCCATAAACCAATGCGTTGTTGTTCGGGACGATGGAAGTGGTTACGGAAAGAATGGATACGATGCCCAACAGCAGTTCCTGTGTTCATGTCGAACCGGACTCGCTGTCCACGCCGCCGCGGACGTGGGCCACTGAAACCAGAAAACCGCCCGCCCAACAGCGGCCGCTGACGGTTTTGGACAACATTTGTTGTTGGGCATTGTGCCCATGTCTTCCGCACCCATTTCGGGTGTCCACAATAAAACGCCTCGGTCACCGAGCGCGTTCCATTGCTCGAGAGTGCCGACTCGGAAGCGTCCGAAAAAAGGAACACATGTTTGCCGCAATGTATTGGATCGTAGATCACCCGTGCCGGATCCAAGCTATTTGCGAGTAGTGGTGTTGCGAGTAGTGCCGCTCGTTAGCGGCTTCAAAGATCTCCAAGAGGTTTCCGTGGGGTGTTTCCAGGAGTTGCGAGACTTTTTCTTGCTCCGCACGGGCTCCTGGCTCGAAGGCCGGTGTATCCTTGTTGAGATCCCGGAGCGCATCTGGAGCCAATCCTATCATGCCCTGTGGAGGACGATCGATGGAGAGGAACCATGTTGCCCATGAGTGTCCAGATGACTAAAACATGTTGTGAACATGTCTTAAACATGCCAAAGCATGTGTTGAACATTATTACTACATGCTGCCAAGCATTTGAAACACACGTTCAATTCAACGACAGGATTGTTTGGGTGTCCATTGTCATGGCATCCACAAATCATGCTGTCATTCCCGTCCCAGTGTTGTCCGAGGCTGTCCTGTCGCAGAGCGCTCCCGGCCTTCCGTGCAACACCGGGGCCCCCACCGGCCTTCCCGGCCTCCCGATGGGATGCTCTTTGGAGGCCCCATTGGGGCCTTCCTGGAGAGTCTGGCGAGCACCTTGGCCAGGGACAGCTCTGGCAACACCTCAGAGGAGCAACAGTTCATTATGATGCTGATGCTGCTGCTGATGATGCTGATGATGATGACGATGATGATGGTGATGATGATGATGACGATGATGATGATGCTGATGCTGATGCTGATGCTGATGCTGATGCTGATGCTGATGCTGATGCTGATGCTGATGCTGATGATGATGATGATGATGATGATGATGATGATGATGATGATGATGATGATACGCTGCAAGGTTTCCAGGATCTCGCAGATTCCAGAAGGTTCCACCCACTCGGGCTTCTAACTTTTTTTTATGAAACGATTCACATCCTAGGCATCACCTCCACCTTCAGCACGAAGGACATCGAAGAAGGCACGACCGCATGAGCTTAAAGTGGAGACCCATGCCACAAAACACCCAGATTTCCTCCAGGGTGCCCTGGGTTTCTTGAATTTCGATGGTTCTGCTATGGAAAGCGTGACGTCCCCACGTCAAACATCAATGGACGTCCTGGGGCCTCAGGGTGGGTTTCTTCTGGACGGTTTCTTGTGGTCGGGCCCCCGCGCGGATTTCTTGGAACTGCGTTGGCCGTCCCCTGGCAGCGCCTCTGGCGCCGCCCCCCGCGCGCCAGGGAGGGGGGCCCAGCACCTCTCCAAGAGATCCGCACGGTCCTCCGCAAGTTAGAAGTTTCTGTTGGACTGGTTTCTTGTCTGGAGGGGGTCCCGAGGGAACCATGAGTCCTGGATGTTTCCCCAGCGGTGTTGAACTCAGGGGCTCCCAATGTCTTTTCTCGGGCACTGGGCCCGGTTGCCGGGTCCGCCGCCTTGTCGTCGGCGTCGCCGCCCCGTCGCCGCCCCGTCGCTGCCCGCCGCCCTGTCGTCGTCGTCGCCGCCCCGTCGCCGCCTCGTCGCCGCCCGCCCTCTCTTTCTAAGGCGCTGGGCCTGGTTGCCAGATCCGCCGCCTGGTTGTCGCAATCGCCGGCTCGTCGCCGCCCGTCAGCTGGGCTTCCCTGCCGGGCCCGTCGCCTTCTTGTCGCCCTCGCCGCCCCTTCGCTGCCTCGTCGCCGGCCGCCCTGTCCTGTATTATTTTTCTTTGGTTTGCATTGTGCTGCATTGCTTTGCGTTGCGGGGTATTGCTTTGCATTGCATGACGTTGCGTTGAATTGCATTGCTGCGCATTGCTTTGCATTGCTTCGCATTGCGTTGCATTGTGTCGCATTGTTTTGCACTGCCTCTCATTGCTTGGCATTGCTTTGCATGTGCATCGTGGTGCATTAGTTTGCGCTGCCTTGCACTATCATGCATTGCCTTTCACTGTCATGCGTTGCCTTGAATGGCCTTGCATTGTTTTGCATTGCGTTGCAGGGCTTTGTATTGCGTGACATTGTTTTGCATTGGTTTGGTTTGCATTGTAATCGTTGTATTTGCTTTGCATTGCTTTGCATTGCTCTGCATGTATCTCGACTGTTCTGTTTTTCATTCCATTGCTTTGCGCCACATGGATTGTACCAAATCGATTTCACCACCTAGATGGAATCGTATACATACATACGTATACATATACATATACATATACATACATACATACATACATACATATATACATACATACATACATACATACATACATACGTACATACATACCTAGATACATACAAACATACATACATACATACATGCATACATACATACATACATACATACATACATACATACATACGTACATACACGTACAGGTATGTGTATACATATATGTCTATATATATCCCTCTTTCTATATGTTTATAAGCCCGGGTGGGGGGGAACACCCGTCACCCCCCCCCCTTTAAAAAAACGGACTCACGGGATCTGGGGCTTTGGGACCTTCCAGACGGGCCTCGAAGCGGCCACCGGGCCTCACACGGCGTTGTGCCAAGCCTTCTCAGCACACCTAGGGCGATCAGGGGGGTCATCGGAGACGTCCCAGAGACCCTCAATACAGCACAAGAGCGCTCCAAGAGTGACCGACGTGACCTCAAGATGGCCCAAGAGGCCACCAGGACGGCCCCAAAGAGGCCTCCAAGAGCACTCTCAAAAAGGCCCCCCGAGGCAAACATTATTGATTTTCCGTGGGTTCTTGGTGAATTTTAGGGTTCTCCTCTTTTCGGCTTCCCGACGCTCCAAGACGGCGGTCTTCTGGGCGTCCGAAGCCGCCTGGGAGGCTTCCAAATTGGCCCACAACCATGCCAAGGGCTTCCAGGCAGTCCAAGAGAGCACTAAAACGGCACAACACGGGTCCAAGATGGCCGTCAGAGAGCCCCATGGTGGCCCAAGATGGCCCAAAGACACCCTCCGAATAATTCCAAATCGTGATTCGGTCGTTCATGGAGACCGCGGTTGGAGGCAGGGTGGCCCGAGGAAGCCCCCAGAGGCCCCCAGAATACGCCCAGGAGGTCTCCAGAAGGCCTTAGGAAAGCCTGAAACAACTTGTGTGAGGCCCCTAGAAGCTCTCCAACCAAGGAGGAGCCTCTGCAGAAAAGAGCTGAGGAGGATGGGGAGAATGCGCAGGGTATGGCGGCAATAAGGAAAAAGAAGCATGGAGGAAGGATAACGAATAACATTATTATAGCGGCAATGCCAGAAAAGGCCACCAGGAGCTATCGCTAAATTGTCGGCTTGGCCTTCCTGCTATTCCGCCTGCGTACGAAACTTCAAGGACCAAGGTGCATGGCGCGAAGCGCCACTGCAGTCTTGTGTGTGTATATATATGTATATATATATAATATAATATATATATATATATCTATATATATATATATATGTGTGTGTGTGTATGTGTCCGTATACTGACTTGTATGGTCATGCCCTTTGGTGCGTGTATCCCCTACGCCGCCGACCCTCCGCTCCAGAGCTGTTCTTGCTCAGAGAGCTTTGGGCTTCGAGCCAGATTCCCCTCTCCCGCGTCGCGGGTGTGCGCCCGCCGCGGGGCGAGGGTCGCAGTGTGTTGAGGCATCCGTGCGACGCCGTCGCGCGGCCTGGCGGCGCAGCCTGTGCCACGGCGCGCCGCGTGCGCTCGGCGAGCCGCGCACGAGCGCACTCCAGGCTTGGAGATGGATGCTGCGGATGGAGGCGCTGTCGTCGCCTTAGTCGGCGAGCTGCTGGACGACGGCCTGGGGCTCGAGGTCGTCGAGAACGGCGAGGAGGCGGCTGGCGCTTCGGAGGAGCTGGAGCCGTCGCCCGCCGAGCCGATCACCATCGAACTCGTTCTACTTGAGTACAGGGTTCGGCGACGACGGGCAGCAGCAGTGCGATTCCGCGTGGCGCGCGCTGCGGGTCACTGCCGCCCCCGAGCAGTACGTGCGCGCGAGGCTGCTCTTCAGCGACGACGCGCGCTGGGACTGGTGGGCAGGGTCCCCAGGCGTTGCGGGTGGAATCTCCCCCAGCGCACTGCTGCACGTCTGCGCGGGCGACCCGCGCGGCGTGGAGGCGCCCGCGGGATGCGACGCGCTCATCCACGTCACGGGCGCCCGCAGGCTGGAGGCAGAGGGCGTCGCCGAGGTCTTCTCGAACTGCTTGCGCCGCAACCCCGATGCGATCTGGGCCGCGGACCTGCCGGGGCCTCGCGCGGCGCGGCTGGCCGCTCCACGTCGGGCGGCGCGCCCGAAGAAGGAGAGCGCCGCGTTGCCGACGCCTGGTCCGGCAGGGCCGAGTGCGGCTAAGCACGCGGCCGAGGGTCACGACTCCCCCTTCGACGGGCTGCTCGGGGACTGCGCCCTGGCCGCGAGGGCTGCGGGCCCCCCTCTCGACCAGGGGCCCGCGCGGGACGAGCTGCGGGCCAGGCTCGTTGCAGCGAGGGGCCGGTCGCCTCGGCGGCGCCAGGGGCCACTGCGGCCGGCGCCCCTCCAGTCGGCGCGGAGGCC